GGATAATTTGATAAATACCCTATTTATAGTTTGAAATTTGAAAAATAAACTTCTTTTTATTATTTTTGAAAACTAAACTTCTTTAGATATGAAAAGACATTTTTCCCCATATTAGTTATTGTAATAAATAAAATACAAATTCGAAAACATTAATAATATTGTTATTTATGTTTACGATAAATCTAAACTTAAGGTATTTTTCTATGGAATATTCTTTAGTTTATCTTTCTATTTAGTAGTATTTCTCTAATTAACTCATGAATGACTATGCATTTTTAGGTTGTTCTCGTTTAGAGTTTTCAACATGCAGCTATATCATAAAAGATTATGTTATCTATTAATTTTCACTAATTTATGTCCAGTTCATCTTTTAATGGGCTCCTGTGTGTTTTCTGATATTATTACATATGCTTGCGGTAAACCAAATGCAGAAATAATTAAGTTGCACAATGAAAAAATAGAGCTTCGTCTTTGACGAGTTGAACACAAAGGCGGAACTAATTTCAGAACAATAAAACAAACATGGTTAGACACAGAAAAATCTAAGTTTGATACATAAGAGAGACCATTCCAAATTTATAGAGATAATCAAAGGAAGAGAAAGATGATAGACAAAAACGGAGAACTAAAACTATTAAAGAGAATGATACTATTTAAATAATTATGATGAAAATAATATATGATAATTTCAGATATTAAAAAGATAATTTAGTTATTTTATATTTATCGAAGTGTAATTTTCAAAAAGTTTAAAGAATGATACAATTTTCAAACTAAAATCTCAAATAGGTGTGTTTTCCCAAATTTTCCCTAAAAGAAATGAAGAAAATCAATAATTGTTGGCTAGGGCTGGGCATTTTATCCGTTATATTTGATTCGATTCGTTATTCGTTTCGATTCTATCCGAAAATTCTGGATATCCGTAAAATTTCGAATCAAAGCAAATACTAAAATTCAATATCCGTTAAAATCAAAGCAAATCACAAATAGTAAAATTTTGGGAATCGGATATCCGATCCGATCCGTAAATATATAAATATATGTATATCTTGATTATATTTAACATTTTAAATGTATAAAATTATATAATTATTACTCTAGCATATGATTTTTAACAATTCTATTCAAATTATTACTTATATAAAAGTATTACATAAAAAGAAAGAAAAAAAATTATGACAATTATATTTTTTTTAAAAAATTTTGTGTTATTATAATTGTAACTTAAGCTTAAATAAATTACAAAATATATAAATTCACTAGTTCTTTTAAGTTTTATTTTATATATCATGCAAAAAAATATTTTTGCAAAGCAAATTTGTATCAAAATCTTAAGATTATTTGTATTAATCAAAACTGATGAGATATCCGTAAATATTCGTAAATATCCGCAAATATCTATTTATTTTCCGGATATCCGTTTTTCCGGATATCCGTATTTTTTCGAAGCAAAGCAAATATCAAAATTAGATATCCGTAACATTCGAAGCAAATCACAAATACCTTAAAAAACCCGGATATCCGATCCGTGCCCACCCCTATTGTTGGCCATCCCTCGAGCCGCTAAAAAGAAGAGACAATAGTTACCAATTTTATGGTTTGGTAAAATACTGAGCCTGGCAAAGGAGAGAAAAAACAAAATATTGCCGGACTAGAAAATCAATACAATCGAGTTTCAGTTCTCATCCCATTTATTAGACCTAGCTTTGTTTTCAAGTAGGAGATTCAGTGTTACAAATATATTCATGAACTAAAATACTAACGATTTTATTCTTCCATTATGAAGTTATGATAGAAAAAATAAAGCATACGACAATTGATATCATATGCCAAAGGTATCCATGTGACAACATGGAGTTTGATTGACACCTTTAATTTGTATAACTAACATGAGCTTCACTTGTCTCTCCTACGAATAATTCATTCAATCATGTAAGCGCATCGACAAATATTGCGAATCGCATATACCATAAAAAGATGAACATATCTGGCGTGAATTATTATAAGTTGTCACAAGATCAGTATGAAGCAAACTGAAAAATAGATTGTGTTCTGGTCTTGTATACTTCTGACTAGTGGATTGTAATAATGTATGAAAGTTTTTAACAAATAAAATTATCTCTCTCATTTACATCCTGAATCAAATCAATGATTTCGAATGAACGTTTTATTTATTTAATAGTTTATGTTATTCTGTTGGGGTTTAAAATTATCAAATTATCATTTGGATAAAATAGAAAAATCGAGTTATACGGTGCCAACTAAAATCACTTTGGAGTTTCTAACATTCATACATATATGCAGCAACTAAGTATTTCAATTTAAAAATTAAGCTATATACGACAAATGGAGTTTTCCATAAATTTCCTCTAAATTCAATTAATGGAGCTCTTTAAATTTATTGAAAATACTAATTGAGAATATAACCGGTGAACTTAAACCGTGATGGAATATACGAACATGTTGGCAAAAAGAAACATAACACAATAGTCCGGAGGGAAAAGAGGAGAGTAAAAAAATTATAAAAAGAAAGAAAGCTCCTTTGAAAAGGGTCGGCCAATGACCATTGTCAAAATGCTGACGACTAAAGACTTTGTCATGGAATAAAGTTGGGACCGTCCATATCTATTTATGTGCTTACTAATAAAAATAAGTTTTGGCTTGACTTTGATAGTATCAACTTCCTCTTTTACCGTCCAATATTTGCTAAACTAATTGCTAATTTGATGTATATATATAAACTTTGAATTGAAGAGAAAAAAACTTTGAATTGACGAAATTTTGAAATAGATATTCATGTTACTTATATGTGCATGTATGATTTAGCGTCATGTCTGCCTACAAGTATATACATTTTTTTTTTACATCAAACGGCTGCCTACAAGTCTATACATACATTATACAAATTATATATGTGCATTATATAACATGTAATGCATGCATGTGTGGGTAAGAGCAGATAATGTTCTTAATTATCGTATGTTGACTATGAGACGAAAAAGGAAGGCATCGTATAATCTAAGTTTGATGGATTCCACGTCCAAAAGAGAAAAGAGTAAGATCATTCACCTCCTTCAGTTAACCAACCAATAGAATACATATATGAAAATATATGATTAAATTACTGTAAACTAATATTTGTAGGCTCAAAAATGGTAAATATATATTGACTAGTTTAGAAATAAACAATTACTCTTCTTGTTGTTAAAATAGGAGATTTTCTGTCAAGTACTAAATTATTTACAATAATTTTCTAAAATATGAATAATGAGCTTTATAATTTTCTAGTCAACAATAAGCTTTATATCTAGTAGCCACGCTTCCGATTTGTTATATAAAAAATCTAATGTATAGAGTATTTTGGACTTATTCCGGAAAACTCATTTTCTAAAAAGTTTGTTCACCTAGAAAACTAATAAGACGTTTTATGTAATCTCAAACTCGTTTAATTTGTAGCGAACAAAATGAAATTAACCATATTACATATCTATACTATTATTTGCGAAGTGATTTTTTGCAACGGAGCTCTCACGTTAAAAGTTAGAGTGGTTAATATCGTTTATACCCTTAATGAATAATTAAAAATTTCGATCAATAATTAAACATAAATAAAAAAATGAATTTTAAGGATTTTAGATTTATCTTTATCTAAAATTATTTTATATTGGGTTATAAAGTCTTTATTAATCTTGAAAATAATTATATTTGTTAATATATAATTAATTATAAATTAAAAACGAATTTCAATTATTTGATAATTATCCTTATTTTTTAAAAATATATATTATGTTTATCAACCTTGAAAAATAATTATATTTGTTAATATATAATAAATTCTAAATTAAAAACGAATTTCATGAATTTGATAATTATCCTTATCTAAATTTTTATATTGTGTCATAAAGTCTTTATTAACCTTGAAAAATAGTTACATTTGTCAATATATATTTAATTATGTAAAAATCAATTCGCAAGAATTTATGTATAGATAATTTATATTGTGTTATCCAAAATATTACTAAAGATAATTTTATCATACTTCTTTTTTGTTATGTCTCAAAAACATATTAATTTATTACTAAATATAATTTTCACATTTAATTTGTGTAATGAAAATTCTTTATATGATGATGAAAAATTTTAGATATAAAAAGATTTTGTTTAGGTTATTATTAATAATTTTGAGTGTATGAATAATAATTTATTATAAATTATTTAAACTGATTATATATTTGTTTATAGATATTAGTAATATTATTAAGCCCGCAAGTGCGGGCAAAACACCTAGTTAATTTACAAGGGATGTGCTTTTAGTGTTGATGCCTCAAATGAAATTTACCCTTTGGATTTAAACAATAAACGGGACCATTCACATGATTATGCTTATTGATGGATTTAACCACTTAATTTTTATAAATGATAGTAACGTTTATTTTTGTTAATCGGATAAATTGTAGACCAAAAATCTACTCATAAAATTTGACTTTATCTGACATAATCGAAATAATTAAATAGTGGTAATAAGACTTGAATATTGGCAAAGAAGAGAATCCATAGTAAAACTTTCATAGCATATCTAATTTCACTATATTTTTCATTTTAAATTAAATAGAGTTCTCATATTTTATTTTTATTCTTTAATAGAATGAAAACAGGTTTACTCTACTTATAGAACAACTTATTAATTATTTTGTTCATTACTTTACTTTTTACTCTAAAAATATAATAATATTGAAGTAGAACTCAAATTTATTTTGGAAAATAATTGAGTGATCCACTGAAGATGGCCAATTCTCAACCACTGAACCACCAACACTAAATTGTTTTTTCTTCAATTGTTATTATCTTCGATACATGTTTAAAAAAATCACTGTTAAGTGAATACTGATAATATCTTCTATGTTATTTTTCTTTCTGCGATACATTTGTATCTTGCATAAAATATAAAATTGATAGTCATGATACATTTTTCATGTTCTGAACGACCGATAAATCACTTAATCATGGATTTTAAAAATTATGTGTTGACAATGGAGATAATTAACACGTCTATTAGTAAGAACAATATGATTTCATAATATGAACATCTGTCAGTTTCTTTTATACATTGGATCCTCTTTGCAGCATTTCCACCCCCTTCTCAAGTTAACTAATCACTCGGAATCAGTTTCTGTTTGTTTTCCTTTTAAAGAATAATTCGAGACACTTTTGAAAATAATATGATTCTTCTCGTTGAAAAATGAACCGCATTAGTGGACTCTCTCTATCTACACGTAGAACCTCTCGAATTTGTTTCTGCTTCTAGTACAGTCTTCTAATAATCAAGTGAATGGCCAGCACAGAAACGCATGTCATAAATATCAACCGTTGCTTTCCCTCCTTTATAGCCTGTTTAATAAAAACAATTCGACAAGTAATAATTAAACCCACACATTTTAAACTAATTAATGTTAGGAATTAGAACCAATCGGTGAGGATAATCATAAATATCACATGATTCACACGTCACTGATAAGACTAATCATATCGCTCCTGATAAAAAATAAACAAAACTTTATCGTTGTTAATTAAAAATATGTCTGTTAATAGTATTTTCTAGAAAACTTTCCGAGTATTAATCGTCACGATTACAACGAAAAACGTCACAGTGTTCTTGTTTCTAAGACGGTTTCCTTAACTCTGCAAAAACATTTTTGATATTTAAAGAAAAAAATAAATAAATATACTGTTAGTGATCTAGTAAAAAAAACAGAGCAACTAAGGTCCAATGTTGACACATACCGTAGAGGCGGAGGAGGTGATGGACATAAAAGAATTTGTTGAAGTAGATGATTGTGATGATGTCGTTGTTGATGGTGATGATGATAATAAACCTACATTGTAAGCCATGGTCTCATCAGGCTGATACAATCCATAGTTTCTCTCAGAGGTTGGTCCTGGTTTAAGGTCTTCATTAAAGAGAGCAAAGAGATAAACATCAAGCCCCATGTTTGGTCTCAATGGCGTTCCTTCACCATGAAGTTGTCTCTTTAGAAGATTCTTATTATAAACTGCCGCGTTGGCCACGGTGGCCCCAATCTCATCTCCGTCGCCTTTAGACGGCCAACCAGTCTCCGAGACCCCAACCTCTATATCTTTAAAGCCAAGCCTTGCCATGGCGAAGATCACAGCGTCTACTTGAGCGTAGAGCATGTTGTCGTAGTGGTACTTGGTGTAGGGGTCAACCATTCCAGGGTTAGGGTTGAAAAGTACGTAGTCTAATGGGATCTTCGTTGGTGAATCCTTGTAAGCGAAGTAAGGGTAAGCATTGATCCAAAAAGGGGATTTCGTGGTACGCAAGAAACTTAGGAGCTGCGTCATTACGCCGGCGACTTGCGGCCTAAAACATCCCGCGGAGGGAGGGAAAGATTCTTGGAGGACTGATAGTGAATTCGGAGTCGATATTTGAATGTACTTGTCTAGTCCAGTTTGGACCAGAGCAGCATGAATGCTAGTCATTGCAGGCACAAGATACCTACATAGCAATAACAAGGTGAATACGTCAAGATTTGAAAAAGTTAATAATTTGTTTGAAGAATGCGGTGATGTATATATATAACAAACCCTATGAGGCTTGAGTCATCGTCGGTGTATAGTTCGTTGCCGACAGCAATACCACCGATCTTGGTGGCGGGAAAGTAGGGTTTGATATGGGACGTGACCCACTGGAGAGCTTGTTGAGGGTCGACTAAGCTGGAAAGCATTTCGTTTTCGACAGTGACGAAGAGCTCGATGTTGGAATTGGCGAATGAGGTTAAGACTTGAGGGTTTGTGTCGTAGATTCTTGTCTTGTTGATATTGAGTGAGCTCAAGAGTTGTAGAACCTTTTTTGGGGGAGGAAGATTGTCGCCGACTTGGCCGTAGTTTATGCCAAGAGACGAGACCCTTTGAATGAACAATCCATGTTCTGCGGAAAGAAAATAAATTAGAATAAGTGTAATGTAGTATCAAGCTGAAATTGAGATAGAAATAAACTATAAGCATAACAGCAAAAGATACCTAAGAATGTTAAGGAAAATAGAAGAAGTACAATAGAGTTGGTCATTGCAACTCCGCTAAACATTTTAGACATGAAGGAGAGCGAGATAGATAGATAAAGACTGAGGGAGAATATATTCGTAAGAGAAAAAATGCAATGAAATGTGGGGATAAATAAAGAGGGGAAGAACTGAGATGGGACCAAGTAGAGGAAGAATTATATTACTTTAAAATTTGGAGATAAGCATACTTTATTTTGCCTGCCTAATTTTATATTTTTGTTAGTGTCTTCTCAAATAAAAAGTAACTATATTGATTCATTTATTAAAAATGAATACATTGTTATTTTAAGTTTCATTTATTAAAAATGAATACATTGTTATTTGAAGTTTTATAGTTGGTGGTAGACTTCGATAAAAAAAAAAAAAGAATGTTGGTGGTAGACTGGTAGGTTTGGCAATAGGTTTATTTATCTGTTTATGCTATTGTAGAAATAGATAGTATTTGTCAAAAGCATTCTTGTGTGGCAAACATGGGCTTCATCACATTTTGTTGGATCCTAGCACGAATAAATAAGAATGACATCTTATAGATTGTCTCTTTCCAACACATTTGCCAACTATGTCAGACCAAAAATAAAAATTAAATTAAAAAGTGGCCTAAAGAAGATACTTTCTTCAGACAAAGGCAATGTGAGGAAAATAACTGAACTGTCCACCATGGGATTTAACAACATGGCTCGGCTGTGGCAATATAATAGACTGGAGGTCCCAAATCTGGAAGTTGAGTGAACAAAAAGAATGGAAAAAAGGGTAGAAATCAGACAATTACAGTGATAAGAGAGATAGTGATCTAAACTTCAGTTTATATTTACTTTAATCCTCTAGTGATACAAGAGAAATTTTTGTTTCTTTATTATTGTTCCAATTGTATTTCCCATTAGCTTTAGTTTAAGCTGGATTTTAAACTGAGAAATTCACTAGAATAGTTATTTTTAGCTTATTTTCACAAAATAACCTCCAAAAAAGAAAGTAACCAAAATAGATTTTATTGAATATTTACGGGATTTTTGCAAATTTGACTCAAAACTCCAAGTCAAACACAAAACTAACCTCTTCTTTTGACTCATCTTGTTTTTGTCCTATTCACCCCACATCTTCATTTTATTTACGAAAATGCCATTTAAATGTTTTTTGAATTTTTTTTCGAAAATGGCATTTTTACTCTCTCAACCTCATCATCTTCAAGTATTTACAACATT